CAACTCCGCCTCCAGACCGCCTTTTCGAAGTGCATTTTCTTGCAGGAAACAATTTTACCGGACAAGTAGCATGGAATGGAAGTTCCATTGTCACTTGTGAGGACGTAGGGTTCATTATAAGGTGGCCAGCCTGCTGAACAATGACGTCAATTCGGCAAATATTTCGATTTCGTGACGTTGAACTAGAGGAGTCTTATAAAGGGCATTCCGGCGTTGCCTTTCGCTTCTTCTCTTCAGTGACGAGTTCCTTGGCTTCCCCTCTTTCATATCTCAGCACCACTTGAACGGTGCGGACGCTGGGGCGTTGCGCGCCAGCTCGTTTTTCACCAATTGTGGGAGCTGACATGCGACTACAGCTGGTGGAAAACTGGCTGGCGCCGCGCCAAATCCCAGTCATCCCTATCCCTCCCTTGAAATGACCTTAGCGTCCGCTGCGAGCAAGACTGTTGCCACGCTTCCAAATGCAGACCGTCTCTTCGAGGACCTAAAAACGGCTCCATGTCCTCCACTGCTAAGCTACTTGGAGGAAAGTTTTCCTGTGCTAAAACACTTGTCACACTTCTCAAAAGTCCCCCCCCCCCTAAATAGAGAAGCACCCCCTCTCTTTGAATAGAAAACCATCTCCGCAAGGATGCTCAGTAGTGAGTAGACGTCACTGTTTTTCAGCAAAGTTTTGGTCCATTCCAGTATTTTTGAGTGAATGCTGCAGACATTCCATTTCGCAACATAACATTTTAGAGCTCCAGTGGATGCTGACTACTACCCGATGCCTTTGCTAATACGTCCACGCCATAGCGTGCCCGAAAACAATCGAACCTTGGCAATCAGCGGTGAGTCTGAAAAACTCATCTGAGGGAGCGCCCCGGTTTGGGAACTGAGTTTGTTTTTATTTCAGAGAAACCGAAGAAAAGGCGGCGGAAAAAGCGCGTCACACGTTCTGTCAAAAAGAGAAGTTCGTGAATTTTTTTCAATTTTCGATTTTTTTTCTGGTTTTCCACTTCTATTTCCAAGGGTCATGCATGCAGCAAGCGCATTACTATGCTCACCCTGCAGTCGTTTTCAAGTCAAGATCTTATTCGGGGAACGTTCAGCCCTTTGGGAAAGTTTTTTGCCAGATATGACCCGCTTATACATGACCCCCGAAAGTTTTTGCCAGATATGACCCGCTTATTCACATTGACCCCCTCTTTTCGATCCCTCATTCCTACTATGTTCCTGAGTTTTCCACTTTCCCCCCATGAAAACTACCGTCGAGCGCGGGTGAAGGGGCGATGAAGGGGATGAGGGTATTCAGCGCTCGGACACATGAAAACCTAAAAGGATTCAACAACCATGAAAACATTTTTCGCGAGAGCAAATACGACCCCCTCCCTGCTGGGGATCTGCTTTAGATTTTATCCGCTGCACTCTCTTCGATTTACAGTAAGATGTGATCAGTTGCTGTAGACCTTATTGTGGACCGAATTCCAGAACCATTGCGCAGAAAAGGACCTGCTGCTCACCTCTCTGGCCATACATCGTCAGCACACTCAGGTAATTCTTTGTTTGAACCTCACAATTTCTCAACTGCACTGCATTGCCTTCCAACTCTGCCCAAATTAATTTGTGTCATCTCACCATCAGGGCACTTCCTCCTGCTCGGAGAAATTCCTGGGAATTATAACTCCCCCTTCCCTCCTCTGGCACTACCCCTTCCCATAATATCTGGCGTCTTACTGATTTTTCCCTACTTCTCTATCACTTTTTTCCACTTTTCCAGAAAATTTCGCAGTTTGTACCCGGAAAACTGCCGTCTGCGGGATGGAGGGACAAAACAACTATTTCAAGTGTCATTCTCACGATTCTGTCAGAGGCAAATACGACCACCTCTCCCTCCCCTCCCATGCACAAGCGGACACGACTGTATTCACTGGGGTCTTCCCAGCACCTTAAATACGACTCCCTCCTGGAGATTCCACAGCGTACAACTGCTTTGTTCACCATTTCTGACCACATCGCAAGCCTTCACAATGTTTGTGACTGGCAAAAACTTAACCCGTCGAGGTAAGGAGGAGAACTTGCTTTTTGAGTGAGCGCACGTTGAAGAAACA